CTCTCTAGCCTGTCTTTATTTTCACACTACTAGATCACTTGCTTCCATACTTTTTGGGGTTTCTTTCAGCTGGTTTTTCTTGTTTCCTTGTACCAGAGGTGTTCTATATTTGGTAAAGCCATTCTCTTACCACAGCCCTTACTATGTTCACTGCTTCTCTCATCACTTCTGGGTATACTGCATTTAGCTGTCCTTCCATCAAGATCCCAATACCGCCTTAGAGTTGTTGGTGCTATCTTGCCAATCATAGATTCACACACACAGCCTTTTACAATATTACCTTCTGTGACCCATATCATATGCAGTACCCATTCTTCTCTATGGCTAAGAGCTCCTTCCAAGAATTCTTTATTAGCCAAATATATACATCACATGGTCTTATTGCCATAGGGTTTCATATTCGAAAGCTCTCAAAGATTACAGAAATAATTAATTAAATTAATTACTACTAGCTATAATTGAACTATTGATCTTGTCTGTAAAGAGTTAGGTGCCCAGACCACTAGGCTATGAGACCCTAACCCTGTATTAATATTTAATTAAATTTTAATTTATTTAAATTATTTTATATTTACAAATATTAATTATTTTAGATATAATTTAATTTAATTTGTTAGAAACTAGTAAAAATTATGTGATTTTCAGTAGTTTTAACTAAGAAATTTTGCTTTTTCTAAATCTGGGGTTTCTCTAAGGATAATTGATTTCATACATATTTGTTTTCATGACTATAAGATATTAACAAAAAAGTAAACAAATAGTCATAAAGACAAAAATACCTATGTATTATGATCTTCTAGGCTAATTTTAATGTTTTGGATACTATTATGCTTGTAATTTTCTTCTCTACAATATTTAATATGTATATAAGAGAGGTTTTCTTAATATGAAATTAATTATTCTTAGGAAAATTCCAAATTTCAAAAAAGGCAAAGTTTACAAAGTAAATATATTCCTCTTAGTTTACTATGTTTTTTTAATAGTTGCCAGACAGATCATAAATTTTTTATTTAATAATACTTAAATTTTTTACATATATAAATTTATAAAATATAAATTGTATAATTTATATGGAATTACTATTTTAATGCAGTGCTATCTTATATATAATCATATAATTTGTAAACAAAATCAATTTTTTTTTTTACAAAAATTATTTTTTTAATTAGATCAGAATTAAAATCAAGACAAGAATAAAATGAAGCTTATTTTATACCAAAATTTTACAAGAAATTTATTTGTTAAAATATGAAATATGGTTTTGTTAAGCAAAATTTTAATTTTTTAAAAAATTCTTTTTTTTGTTACACAAAGCTGATCTACATGTTATACTAGGGATCGATATATACTATATAAATCAAAACTATATATGGTTATATAGGCTGCCATTAATAGAAATCAGGCAGATTAATATTTTAAAAAAATCTATACATCAATTTTTACAGCTCATATCTTGATAAATTTGAAAGCTAGCTTGATTATTTAATATTCAAAAGAAAGAGTAATTTCCAAGCTTTCTTTTGAATATTTAATCATAAAATTGCATCAAAATTCATTAATATATGAGCTATGAAATTTGAGATATAAATTTTTTTAATATGTTGATCTGCCTGATTTCTATTGACAGCAGCCTATCTTGTCAAAGTTACAACGCATATAGCAGCCTTGAGTAACACAGTAACTAATAGTTATATAACTGTTATATGCTTTTCAAAATCATATAATAGTCTCAAGTAATGTAGTAATTTATACTTAATTTTAGGTAGTATATCCAATAATTAATAAATATAATACATATATACAAGTTTTAATTTTATTGAAATAAAAGTTTATATTAAATGTTTCATGCCTCATATGAACTACAACAAAAGTTATTTAATATTTGATACTATTATTATCAATGGCTTGTATTGCCAACACTTTATAAAGTTACATTTTTACTTTGTTGATGAAACATAAAATCCACAAAAAGAAAGAAGATATTAATGAAAATATAAAAAGCAGCAAGAAAAAGGAACATACTAACTAGTACTTATTTATACCAGTTTTAAGTTCTACCTGGGTCTCAAATTTCAATCCCAACTTCTATTTAACCTTCATCAATAAAACATAAAATCTACAAAAAAGAAAGAAAGTATTAATGAAAATACAAAAAAGCAACAAAAAAAGAAACATATTAACTAGTACTTATTTATACTAGTTCCAAGTCTTACTTGGGTTCAGATCTCAATCCTGACTTTATTTCATCTTCATTAACAAAACATAAAACCTGCAAAAGAGAAATAAGGTATTAATAAAATACAAAAAAGTAGCAAGAAAAAAACATTAACTTTATACCAGTTCCAAGAAACTTGGGTTTCAGATTACAATCCCAACTTCTATTTCACTTTGTTGACAAAATATAAAACCTGCAAAAGATAAAAAAGGTATTAATGAAATACAAAAAGCAGCAAGAAAAAAAAACACATTAGCTAGTACTTATTTATGCCAGTTTCAAGCCACCTGGGTTTCAAATTTCAATCCTGACTTTATTTTACTTTGTTGACGAAATATAAAACTCGCAAAAGAGAAAGAAGATATTAATGAAAATACAAAAAGTAGCAAGAAAAAGAAACATATTAACTAGTACTTATTTATACCAGTTCCAAGCCACCTAGGTCTTAGATCTCAATTCTGTTTTCCATTTCACCTTTATTAACGAAATATAAAATTTGCAAAAGAGAAAGAAGGTATTAATGAAAATACAAAAAAGCAGCAAGAAAAAAAAACATATTAACTGGTACTTATTTATACCAGTTCCAAGCCACCTGGGTTTCAAATCTCAATTCTGATTTCCATTTCACCTTTGTCAACGAATCATAAAACCTAAAAGAGAAAAAAGGTATTAATAAAATACAAAAAGCAACAAAAAAAAAGAAACATACTAACTGGTACTTATTTATACCAGTTCCAAGTCCCACTCAGGTCTCAAATCTCAATCCTGACTTCTATTTTACATTTATCAATGAAACATAAAACCCACAAATAAGAAAGAAGGTAATAATAAAATACAAAAAAAGCAGCAAGAAAAAGAAACATATTAACTGATATTTATTTATACCAGTTTCAAGTTCACCCAAGTTCAGATCTCAAATTCAGACTTCCATTTCACTTTGTCAACAAAACATAAAACTCACAAAAGAGAAAGAAGGTATTAATAAAAATACAAAAAGCAGCAAGAAAAAGAAACATATTAACTGGTACTTATTTATACCAGTTTTAAGCTACCTGGGTCTCAGATCTCAATCCTGACTTTCATTTCATCTTTGTTGACAAAACATAAAACTCACAAAAAAAAAAAGAAGGTATTAATAAAATACAAAAAAGTAGCAAAAAAAAGAACTATACTAACTTGTACTTATTTATACCAGTTCCAAGTCCCATTCAGGTTTAGATCTTAATCCTAACTTCTATTTCACCTTCATCGATGAAATATAAAACCTGCAAAAAAGAAAGAAGTATTAATAAAATACAAAAAAGTAGTACTAACTAGTATTTATACTATTTTGATTATTCTTATTTTGGGTTACATGGCACATAATTATATTAATTTGATTTGATAAATGTAAATATCAAACAATGGTAATATAACAAAATTTAATCAAAGTTTAATTTTTTTCTTTATATACATTTTGATTACTAATTGACACTTTCTCTTTTTATTCTTACTCAAAAATCATAAATATGAATATGTGAAATTATAGGGACAAGAAAATGTAACAAACAATTTTTATTACAAAATTTAGAGTCAAGTGAAGTAACTACAACTTCTACTAGACAATTTTTGAAGTTAAGAACTCAAAGCATATATTTGGGCCAAAACTTGAGTATGTATTTAGAGAGAGTATGCAACTTATAAAGAGCACCTTCTGCACCTATTAATCTTAATTTTATACAACAGTACAGTAGGGTGTTCAATGCACTATATATATATAATCTAATAGTAAAATTTTTATATAATGATAGTTGTTATTAAATACTCAAATTTTGACAATCTTATTTTTTTGCTCTTTTTGTATAGAGTTTAATAAGCAATTAAGTAAGATTTTTGAAGTTAATTTTAACTTATTGTTATTAAAATAATCTATTTGTTATTGGCGGCACATCTGGATTTTATTTATATACATATATATAAACACATAAGACAGTTTAAAGCATTTTTTATAGATAATTCATTAAACAAAATTGTCTACTCAAATATTCATATAGGACTATATATATCAATGGCACTTCTGTACTATGATATAATATTAGTTATTGTGCCACTCAGGCATTATACCTATTTTTTGTCAAATTATAGGATACAATTTTTTGTGAGTGTGCTAATAAGAATTTATTTTAAAATAATTTTAATTTATTGTTTTACAAAAAATTGTTACATATTCCTTAAATTGTATTTGGAGCAAATTTGCTTTAATTTTCTGATTTTCAGTAAATTTTCTACACTACATTCAAAATTTACTTATAATACCCTGTAAGATTCTTAAAGAATCAGGCCAAAACTACTTAAGGAATGTAAACGATTTATTATTTTTCATTAAGTTGAATTAATTTAATCTTTTTGTTTGTATCTTTTTTACAAGTTACTTTTATATAGGAAAATAAATAGTATATTTATAGAGTTTACATGGAACTAAAAATACATACTAAGTTTCGAAAATAAATTAAATATGGCTATCATTATAAATAATAATGCATCACAGCATTAGTCTTAAAACTTATTTTTCCCAGGAGCATATTTGTAATGTAAGAGGCATATAAACATAAATAATAAATAAATAAGTAAAATGATTGTAATGTTAGATACGATCATTATATTAGTGTAGAAATTTAAAATAATGATCATTTTGAATCTGACCCTACTTATTCCATAATAAGATTTACGATCATGATCAGAAAAAAAAAAAGAACTTAGTATTACAGGTTTAATATAGCTTATTATATTTTTTTTCTATTAAAAATTAACATCCATGTTGATCAAATTCTTTAACTTTTCCAGGTGCATTTTGTAGGTATTCAAGAGGTTCCCAGGTAGCTTCATGTAACAGATAACTACCCATTTTACTAAGTAATATACCTTTTTATTCACTTCCTTCCGGTTCAAGATTGATTTAACTTCATATTCAACTTGTTAGATTCAGGGTTTAAAATTCAGCTCAAAATCTTCTTGCACAATTGCAGTTGTGGCACAAGTTTTTATTGCACAAACCAAATATTAGTTGCACATGTATGCATAAAAAATTTTTGCATATATGCACTAATTTATTGTCTCTAAGTATTCCTATTTTGAATTTCGGAATAATTTGGATATTTTTTCAAATTTTATACTTGATCTTGCTTGTAATTTACATTCATTTATTTTTCTTTTAGAACTTTTCAGAATATCCTTCTCATCCCTAGAATTTTAGTGCAAAAGTATTTTATAATTTCTCTTGCACATTATTTTTTGCGCAACAAATTTAATTGCACACTTGTGCATATGCATTTAGAACTTCTCTTGTACAAAAAAAACTACTTGCACATATGCACCTTGTGCAAGCCAATTTTAAACCCTAGTTGGATTGCGGGTAAGAAGATCACAGGTGGTGTGTTGGTCTGTTAAATTTCTTTGACTCTTTGTATAGTTTAACAAAGAAATATAGAATACAGAGTGAATTCTTCATTCTTTGGGTAGATCTAACTTATATGCGACTGTTGAAATTTTTTCCAACACTGTATAAGAGCCGATGTATTTAGATAACAATTTCTTTATTGGTCTTCATTTGTTGATTGGGTTGTTAATATTTTTTGTAAAAAGCAACACTTTGTCTCCTATTTTGAATTCAAGGTAACAGTGTTGTTGGTTCGCATATTGAGTTTGTATTTGCTGGACTATAATTGGGGCATCTTTTGCTGCTGTAATTATGCTGTTTCAGTGGTTAAGGAAGTCGTCTGCTGCTGGTACGTGTCCTGAAGTTCCTGCTGCCAACATAGTTGGTGTGCTAGGGTGTTGCCCTGTATCTAGTTCAAAAGGTGTGAACCTGGCTGATACCTGCTTGGAATTGTTGTAGGTGAATTCTACGGCTGGTAAATATTCGTTCCATTGATCCTGTTTATAAGTAGAGTATATTCTCAACATTTCTTCTAAGGTCCTATTCATCCTTTTAGTTTGCCTATCAGTTTATAGGTAGAATACTGTAGATATAGTCAACTTAGTTTCAAGTTGTCTAAAAAGAGTCTGCCAAAATTTACTGGTAAATTTGGCATCTCTGTCTGATATGATTGCTTTAGACAATTTGTAGTTCTTGAAGATAGTAGAGAAGAAAATTTTGGCAACTTCAGGGGCTATAACTGTGGTGTGAGTGGGCAAAAATAGGCTTTCTTTGTTAGTTTGTTGACAAATACTATAATGGCATTGTATTCTTTTTTTGTTGGGGGTAATTGGACTATAAAGTCCACAGTGATTTGTTCCCAACACTTTTTGGAGATGTCTAAGAGATATAGGAGTCTAGCGAGCTGCTGGTTACTACCTTTGTTTTTTTGGCATTAGTTACAACTGTTTGCATATTTCTTTACATCTTTGTGGAGTTCAGGCCAGAAGTAATTTCTGCTGATTAGCTCATATGTTTTATCTATTCCTAGATATCCTGCTGTTTCGACATCATGATGTTCCTGAAGTAATTGTGTTCTTAAATCCTTATTTAATAGAATTGCTAACCTGAACTCTTCCTTTAAGTATATTTTTCTATTATTCAATTCAAAGTGTTTTACTTGTGCTTGCTGCTTGGGGTTACTACTTATATTTTTTTAAAAAATTTAAAAATAGGTGAAAAGTAAGGGTCTTTTATGTACTCTTGTTCAAGGAATTCCATGTTCGTCAATTGAGTTGATACAGTAGTAATGTTGCTTAAATATGTTCATTGTGATAAGGCATTAGCAACAATATTCATTTTTTCTGGTTTGTATTTAATATCAAAATCTATTGCCTGTAGTAATTCTAACTATCTGGCTTAATGACATGACAGGTGTGTTTGTGACTTAATATATTCTAAACAAAGCATGGTCAGTAGTTACTGTGAATTTTCACTCTTCTATATATAGGCACCACAACTTTATAGCATGAACTATAGCTAACAACTCCTTTTTATGTATAGGATAATTTAATTCAGCTAATGATAGTTTTCTAGATTCATAGACAACTGGTTGGTCACCTTTACCATGATCTTGACTGAGAACAGTGCCAATAGCATAATTAGAGGCATCTGTAGTGATAGAAAATAGTTTGGTAGAATCGGGGAGAACAAGAACATGAGCAGAGATAAGTTGGTGCTTTAGGGTTTTGAAAGCACTTGCTTTCTGTTGTTCCACTTAAAAAGTTGGTCTTTATAAAGTAATTGTGAAGGGGCTACAATAGCAGAAAATCCCTTTATGAATTTTCTGTAATAACTAGCTAAACCAAGAAATGACCAAATGTCAGTAACACCAGTGGGTATGGGCCAACCCTAGATAGTATTAATCTTTTTGTTATCAACAAAAAGTTTATTTGCTAAAATAACATGACCAAGATACTCGACTCTTTCTTTAAAGAATTCACATTTGCTAGTTTTCGCATATAACTTAAGTTTTCTTAAAATTTCCAGAACTATTTGTAAGTAGTATGTATGTTCTTATCTGGTCTTAATGTAAATAAGACTATTATCAATATATAGAATTATAAATTTATCAAGGTCATAAATGTAGTGGGAGTGTTGGTGAGACCAAAAGATAATATGAAAAACTTGTAATGGCCGTAATAGATACAGAAAGCTGTTTTGTGAATGTCTTCTTTTTTGATTTAGATTTGGTGGTATCCAGAGTGCAGGTCTATTTTCATAAAATATTTGGCCCACTAACTGATTCAATAACTCATCAATATGGAGAGTGGGTACCTACTTTACAGAAACTTTGATTTTTTAAAAATATAGTTACAATAGAGTTATTATAAATATGATTATTATATAATTATAGATGTGTGGCGACTTAGTGTAGTGGTCTAGTTGTCACCCTCTCCAAGTGGCAGGTCTAGAGTTCAAATCTCACGGATGACAAATTTTGAAAAATAGCCTGTGTTATGGTTTACGGTTGTCGATTATCGGTTGGATCTAGAAATCTGTAATCTTGGTCA